AGTACCAGATGACTGGACAAGAGCCTTAGTGACTCCAAGAAAGGTGATAAGGACTGTGCTGAAAACTATAGACCAATATCCTTAACGTGCATCTGTAGTAAGCTTTTGGAGCATATTATCACTAAGAACATTGTCTCACATCTGGAGCGTCATGATATCCTGTACAAATTTCCACATGGTTTTTGCAAATTTAGATCATGMAAATCTCAGCTGATAGAGTTTATAAACGAATCATTGGAAACATTTGTGCAAAGCAGTCTGATGTCATTATAATGGACTTTTCAAAGACATTCAATAAAGTTCCTCACAACAGACTTCTATACAAGCTAGAGATGTATGGCATAAGGGGTGACACTTTCCTGTGGATCGGGGCCTTCCTAAATAACCGTCAGCAGTGTGTTGTTGTTGATGGAGAGCGATCTGGATTCACCCCAGTGTTATCTGRTATACCTCATGGTTCCCTTATAGGCCCAATTCCTTTCCTTCCTGATAATATTAGGTYGACGGTCCGTCTATTTGCTGATGACACCATCATTTATCTGGCTGACAAGTGAAATTAGCTGTAAACAACTTCAAATGGACCTCGATGCTCTTCAGGAATGGGAAAAATAGAGAGAGTTTAATACAACCAAATGTGAAGTCATGTGAATCTCTAGATCCAAACAGCAAATCCAKCACACCTACTATTTACATGGAGTTCCCGCTAACAGAAGTCATGCAGACCAAATACCTGGGGGAACATACAGTATATCACATGACCTCAAATGGAGCACATTGTATGACATCACAGCTAAAACTAACACATCTCTCGGCTTCCTTAAATGGAACCTGAGGATAAACTTGCCATCACTTAAAGCCAAAGCTTACCAAGGTCTTGTCCGACTAAAGCTTGAGTACTGTGCTAGCGTATGGGAMYCATGCCCACGTGTTGAAAACAATGGCTAACACAAGATTGAAATGGTACAACGCCGTGCTGCTCGGTGGTGCTTAAGAAGATATGGCAGGACAGATAGYGTTACTGCCATGCTTGAAGAACTTGGATGGCGCTCTCTTGAACAGCGCCGTGCAGACAGCCGTCTCACAACTCTATTTAAAATCACCAGAGGCCTCCTCTCTGTCGACACCAAAGGACTTCTGCGCCCTGTAACTCGACAGACTCGGAGCACTCATACTAAATCGTTCATTCCCTTGTGCACCCCAACAACATCTGAACACTTATCTTTTTTGCCAAGAACAACAGTACAATGGAACAATCTGTCTGCCTCTATGTTCAATAGTTTGTCCTCACTGACTGTTTTTAAACAAAAATTAATCTGTTTAATCACCTCCCTGTTAATTAACTAACTTTTGTCATACTGACCCCCCAGCCAATAATCCTCGTTTGTGAGGGGCWGGCTGTATTTGTTGGTAAATAAATTAATAATTAAATAACTATGCCTAAACACCACCAATCACACTTTATTTTGGGAACGTTTTGAGCATGTTTACCTGCTTATTCTTTATGGTTGCTTGTAATAGAAGTTCATGATTACACTTCACCAGTACACCAGCCTTTTCATGAAACTAGTGTCAATCAAATAATTATAATTAATTACTTCAATTTTGATGTTGAGAGACAATAGAAAGATTTCACATAAAGCCTTTTATAACATGTAAATGAGTTTTTTGATTAATTAACATACAAATTAAATGTCACCAGAGATGTGCAGTTTATCAACAGAAAATAAATCACCTCTAGCGTCCTCATAAAAGATAAKGATGGTTACATATTTCAAGCTTAGACTTACCCAAACAATATTGAAATAATCATTTTCTTCAAAGGTATCAATCAGAGCTTTAGCTGAAAGCTTTGCTAAGCTCATGGGAACACCTCTCATACTTCCACTAGTATCAAGAAGAATCACCACRTCTTTAGGAGAGGTTCCACCTTGGATGAACCTAGTAAAGGGAATTCTAGACTTAGCTAATCATAATACTATTGATGTCATTGACATTACATATGATTGTTCATGTCTGAACAGGTTTGTGAATAGTAAAACAAACAAAATCAGGCTTCTTACCACGATCKTGAGCGTGCATCGTAAAGATCAACTTGCCCACTTTCTAATTTCCATTTGTGACCTTGAAAGATGATATCAGTTTTTATTGCAGCATTAGAAATTGAAATAATAATAATTGTTTTTGCTTGTGCAATATAATATTTGARCAAACACATAAAAAATAGAGCTAACCTGGATAGAACCTGGTAAATCCAGTATTACTAGCAAAGTACTGCCACTTTAGGGTAGGGTCTGATTTGGCATTTTTAGAGAATTCTTCATTTAGGGCCTCACTCCAATGGATACCATTGACAATGGAAGCAGCTGATTATTACACAAATGACATGATTATTACATTGTTCATAAGAATTATTAATGAATTATATACAGCTATTTTCAATCATTCTGACCCACCTATACTAGTATTCATTATATCAATTGAAACTGACCTTTAATATTATGGCATATCATTGCTGATATATTTTTTGAGTTGTCCAGAATGAGTACTTTCTAAAAAGGTATCAGCAATGGTATCCCATAATTTTTAAGGCTACTTTGATATATATGAATATTAGTGTAGGTGGGTGACCAGAATTATTGCAAATGGCTGTATCTTGGTATTAATGATAATATAGGTTATAGGGATGACATTTAAGATAATGTTGATTGGAGAGATATTGAATATTGAGCTTTGATATATTATTATATAACTTTTCAGTAAAATCAGACGTTTTGATTGGTTGGCTTTCATGTGTTATCAAAGTATAGATACACGGATTACGTCAAAACTAATTGTTTGTTGTATAAAACAGATAGATCTCATTTTTCCGTGCGTGTGTACTCTTAGACTAATAGATACACAGATGACGTCAAAATGTAGGGAGAACAACAGTCACGCACTTGACTGCGTCTCGTGCGTACTTTTTTGTTCTCGCTACATTTTGACGTCATCTGTGTATCTCTTAGAGTACACACGCACGGAAAAATGAGATCTATTTGTTAAATATAACATGTCGTAAGTGATGATGGATAGTGGATATGGATAATACTACCGTCATACTGTATGCTCTGAAATGTATTTCATAGGTTACTGAAAACCTATATCATACAGGGCTAACAATATAGATTAATCATCAAGTTCAAGTTCCTGTTATTGTATGCTAGCAAGGTTTAGGAATAAGATTTTGCTGGACCTCGTTCCTGGTATCACGATACAGGGGGCATGAGCTCTCTTGCATGAGCTCTCTTTACCCATGCCTGCTGTCTCATATTTCAAAGATTTTGTATCCCAAGGAAGGGAGTGTACACCTCTGGAACCCCCCTGTGCACACACCCCTATACTAATAATACAATACAAGTGACTACTGCACAACATGCAAAGAGAAGGYCAACTATCAGGAGTAATCTATCTATATAATGAAAATAACAGTTATAATAAAAATGGTTATGGTATCACAATATTGTACCTCCATCATACACATCAGTAGGGACATGCACTACACTGCTATTAAATGTAACTCTCTGTTGGAATAAAGAGTTGTACTCCAGTTTTATTCCAGTTTCATTTAAAAAGGTATCAAGTTTCTTGATATCAGGRAATTTTACATCTTTCTTCTGCAAAGGAAAATAACAATGGCATGTTAAAACATGGGAAAATCTACTACTTGTCTATTTAACCTTCACAATAACATTTTAATTAAAATAACATAACACAATAACATTGTATTCCCTAGAGCCAATTTTCAAATTTGTAATATTTTCTCAAACTACAAACTACTTATAATACATTACTCTTGAAAATGATGCTGAATGGCACAAAAASGTCAAGTTTTGCTTAATGTCCCATCACATTTTATAGTAAGGATTATTAATAAACTATTAATATTCATTAACCTGGATTGAGAGACCTTTCTATTCAAATTACCTTGAGATTATTCTTGACCTCATGTCCACAATAAGCGTGCTCCGCTTTATTTACAATATTCTAAAAATCACAAATCAAAGCAAAACTAAATCTTAGATCTATCAATCACTAACGTTATCTAATAAAATGCAAGTCAGTTTTTTATCATACAATTTGATCCATCTATTCATGTCTTTGATAACAAAAAGATACATGTATGAACAAAACAATAACAACTTTTTTGTCTAGAAATGGAAAGAGCAGGTAAAATGGCAAAGTGTCAGAAATAAATCCTATAAAACAATTTCAACCCAAACATGGGGAGTCTGGTGAGTTATAGACCAGTTTAACAGGTTTATTTGGAGACTTACATATTGTGACCCAAGAAAATAATATGTGAAATAAATAATAAGTTGATATACTCTACAGCAGATCTTGAAAAGGTTGTCCAATGTTCCAATTGCCAGGTGACTAATGAAAAATTGATCATTTGTATAAAATGGTCTAAGATGTCTAGTGTCCTTTTGTGGAGAAATGACAAGGCATTTAACAATTCTATATACTGGACATTAGAGAATGTTTCACCTGAAGAAACTGAATATACATGTATATCAAGACATGTGACAATTGGAAATGTCTTAGTTGGACAATCTTTGATTGGCTGTATATAGAACAATTTCGGGCAAGCAGCTTGTTCAATGCAAATAAGTATGTGTGTTAAAATAGCATACTGATAAGAAGCATACTCATGATTTCATACTGAAAACATACACAATGTCATTTCCTTTCAAATATGCGTTCACAACTTTGATTCTTTTTCATGATAATTGATGAGCTCCTCTTCRGTTTTGCCTATATTCAATCATTRCATTTGCTGCGCTCTGACTGCAGCAAGAAGGGGCTGGGCACTAGGCTTTATCAGCAAGTATTTTTGCTCTGTTAATTGGGAGGGATAATGGTTGTCCAGGTCCTAATGGTGCCATTAGCCTGCACAAAATGTAAATACCCAGTGTTGTCAATAACTAATTGTGCATTCAAACAGTGGTTGCAACAATAACCACAACAGAAGGTTSATATATTCAGTGTGGRGTACTGTCAATTGCACCWACCGCAATTGGGAATTYGGGCCAGTTGTCCATTAAATGTGCCCATTCTGTGTTATTTGGCTAACAATCATGGAAGTCTACTGTATCTGATGTATGATTCTGTAAATAATTCTATTGATACCAATTCGGTCGATGGCAAACATGAGTGTAATGATAAGAAAAAGTAGGACCTSATTGTTAAGTTCAAAGAATAAAAAGAGGAAAAGTGGCCRAGAYGAAGCAAGAGAAACATATGGTTTTTGTTTTGTTATTAAGTATAGAACTAAACTAATTTTTACCATAACTTGGTCGAGAGCCGTTGTCGATCGTAGGACAGACCGATGAAATGACGAATCGCTTGCGSACGGAGCCGACACGCGCCAGAAACATTTTGTTTTGAAAGTTTTACTCTGTTTTCCGCTTTTTTATGGTAAAAAACAAATCGAAATCGCTTTTCTATGGTCTGTACGCTTATCGACAATGAAAATGACRCCAGAAAATGATCAAAACTTGGCAGTGAAACTTGAGTTTTGATCATTTTCTGACGTCATTTTCATTGTCAATAAGCGTGCAGACCATAGAAAAGCGATTTCGATTTGTTAATTGTGCAAAATAAAGAGAAATACATGTATTGAATTCTCTAATAAAGTTATTTTAATAAATTAAAGCAGTTTTCTATTGTGAATCTACAAGTTTGCTTCTTATTAGTATGCTATTTTAACACACATGTATACTTATTTGCATTGAACAAGCTGCTTGCGCCAAAACGTTCTAATATAACCAATGATGACATGTATGATATTGAAAATAGCAGAAGTTGATGGAAATGAATGAAAAGTGTATATTGATGATAAGAATTGCTTAGAGATAGCGATGCAATATTCTTAAAACACATCCTAATTTTTTAATTCTTGATACAGACTGGATGCATATGTTTTTTCTGTAATAAAGAATTCATCCTTGTTAGGGAATTTYATCAGGAATATTTAGGTCACCAGATAACAATCAAAGATAAAAAGTTAAAAATGTACCTCATAATAATATTGTTGCGTGTTCTTATTGAATGTTATCAATTTTTTAACATTTGGCAAAAGTACAAAACGCTGAAAACACCCATAAACAACAGCAAAAATGAGAAAATTAAAAAAAAAGGATTTATATTCGAGGCCATGAACACATATTTTTTTAATGTTTCAAGTACARTACGTGGATACAAGTATGTTCAAATAATGAGATAGAATACGATCATTTAAAATAGAATCTGTTGAATAAATAAATGAACCGGTACCACTAGCATATAGTAAAGCTATGTATCCCAATGACATATTATACAAGTGTATTGTCTAYGTTAGTGTGTTGGCGTAAAGCGCAACTCTGTTGTGCTCGCTCCAAAAAATCTGCTTCGTATTTAATTTATATTGATATTTGGCACTTCTATTTCACGAGATTGAATAAGACTTCTTTTAATTTTGGTTCATATTGTTATCATTCAGCCGTTTTGGATGTCAGAAGTAAGGAATWAATGATCAACTTAGGGATGTTATTAAAAACGATGTTGGAAAAATTGAAAGCCACAAGTAACTTATATTACCAAAATAAACACCGTTGATATTCATGTATTTTTTTATGGGAAAATATTTGCCCTGAAGAACTGATAAGCTTAGTTTATTGGTAAACTTAAGCTTACATTGTAAAAATTGTAAAGAATGAAGATGGCACTCACGTGACAACAACAATGTTATATCATTCTCGAAGGAAATGTTTTTTCCCTGTTGGATAAGAGAGATTTTAAGTGCTAAACGATATTTTGCACTGCAGTGTTACTAAGAAACGAGTTCATCAGAGAGATCGAAAGCTAACTATAGGTCTAGGTCTATGAATATTATGACTTAATATTTAAAAATCTGCAAACAAATTGAGGTGCTTTCGACCATTTTTCTTAATATAAAATATAAATGAAGTACTAACCTTCAAAGTTTTTATTTTCTTGTCGAAATACCCTTCAATTCTGCTTTTGGTCTCTTTGAGCAGCTGTTCCCACTCGACGACTGTTGTACTTAGATTTAATCCTTCATAGCTCTATAGAAACCGAAAATATAACATTTATAAAATAATATACCACTTAAATCCATATTTTCTTGCCTTTTGTAACTCTTCGACCTGCGTAATGTTTGTTGAGTATTGGTAAACTTCTTTGCCAATGTTGTTTGCCCATTCTATAACCCTACATGCAAGAGCAAGACAGTCAACATTCATGCCGAATATAAAAGCCCCAGTTTAAAAATCTCTGATTAACAATTCTCAAATACAATACTAACATATCTTCAGTGAATTCTGTAGCTGTGCAACTGGTCGTGAAGGTAAGCAAAATAAAGAAGGGCAGCCATAACATAGACGAGGACAATTCCTTGGCCGCCATGATGGCACAAATAGTTAGCTGCCACAAGCCCCTGGAGACTGGGGGTAACTATTTTGCTTTCAAGCGGAAGTGCTGAGGTAAAAAGTAAACTATTGTGCCACAGTGATATTTTTGAAACTCTTTTAAGGCTAGTTACACCTCATGCGTTGTTGCCAACGCCAATCTTAATCTTTAAAATGATCACTTGCTGTGCTAATGAATATTTGAACATAATACAGCACTTTACAACATGCGTCGTCAGACAAGTGACCACATTGTTAACATTTTTTCCAGAATGAGCAAAGACCCATCGCCATATCACCCAAACAAATTTCTCTGGTTTCAACTAGTAGCTTTTTTCAGTAGTAGTGATGCTATTCCGGCTTCATGCAATAAACTCCACAGATACAAAGAACAGTCGGCTCCAGGCCACCTATGGCGAGAATATCGGCCGACAGTACTTACCTTTGACTTCCGTTGACTCTATAAAATTTCTTAGAAATACTATTTTCCTATTTGGACATTTTCAATATCGGTATTTATGCTATTCTGGGAGGTTTACAGTAGGTTCTATTTTTCAGTTCGAAAATATAATTTGATGCGTCTTGAATATGAATTTGTGTTCCTTTTTGCCATGATGCTGTGTATATGTGTTTCTCGTCCCCAGAGGTTCCCAGACTTTTCCCAGACTAAATGCGTTGGACGGTTGACGGTACAACATGAAATTATAAATCTACTGAAATTTTATCAACATTAATCATTGATTTTTATGATATTGTATGATTTTATACACAGTATARCATTGACAAAATGCTACAAAAATAACTAAATTGTATAATAACAAGCAACTTAAAGCACTCCCCTATATTKGCTATACGGGTATGTGCCGCATGATAGGGTCCCTTTTTCGGAGCTCCAAGTCTGGGATAGGGTATCATTTTTTGCCCATTTTTCTGGGTTATGGTAGTAGTTTTGTCTGGGATAGAGTAGYTTTTTGTCTAGGATAGGCACATTTTCTGTGGTAGGGTGGAGTTTTGCMTGTGATCGAATCTGCTAGGCCACGCTTTCAGCGCTAAAATTATGTACCTTTGTACCTTTAGTCAGGGGTAGGGTATTTAAAATCACAAAAATTGGTCTGGGATAGGGTAAGGGTTTTGAGGGTCGTGCGGCACATCCCCACCCAAGTATTATGGACTAGTATTGTGTCTTTACCGGTCGCCACCTCTTTTTCAGGGACCACGGAGCGGGAATTTGTTAAACTTCGCAAAAAAGCTTCAATTTTAATGATTTGCGCTCAGTTTTTACACAATCTTTATAGAATAAAAAGTGAAATTTCATAAGGAGGCTTTTCGCTTCTTTATTTAAGAATATTCAAAAAGGCGGAAAAATTATTGCTACATTATTACTGTTCCGCGGTCCCTGTTTTTTGAGATTTCTTCCACTGATGTGCGTGTCAGTTTTGGACATCGCGAGGTTGAAGGTTGCTTCAACAATACTTTTTTTTTTTTGCAAAAGGATAAACTAGCTCAAAAAGGACAACAGACTCCTCGCGCAACTTGTTTTCTAACAGCGAAATAAATGTTTCAACATTRCTAGTTAACGCGAGTTGATTCTCTAAAAGCGTGGCCGAAGTGTCAAAGACCGAGTGTGAGTCACATGTCCAATATCAACCAATCAGCAAGATCTATGACTATTCGATGATACTTCCTTGTTGCCGTATTGACGAAACTTTGAGTGCTACRTTTTGCATGCAAACCATACTTGACAGTGAATTTATAACTGGAGGTAGATTTGTATATTATACAACATCTATTTGCCATGGATGAAGCTACTGTTGTTTGCTGTGGGTATTTGAAAAAATCGCCTCCTGAACGAAGGCTAATGCGAACGGTACGTAAGACTTTCATGTAAGCTGGTCTTAGCTGTGTGGTCATTTGACTCATTTAACAGGAATATTCTGCTCCTGCTACAGATGCCTMAATTTAAACTTTTCTCAATTGTTTAGTTTGATGTATGTCGATATTTTTGAGGTATTTCAAACTGCTCGTGAATTGTAATGTTTTCATGAGGTTCACTTCCGTTGCGAAATCATTGCATTCCTTCACATCAGACTTCGTCGGACTTCGTCTATTATAAGTAAGGTTATGTATTTCTACAAGCTACTATAAATACCGTTTCTTTTAGATTTAACTCATTGTTTATAGTCCAAATCTCTTTGTTAGACCTTTTTATTTGTTGTCGAGGTTGCSTTTGCTGGAGCATTGCGAGCCACACTTCCCAAAAATACTTTAATTCAATAGATTAACTTACTAGTTTTGCTATAAGAAAGCGTCTAGAGAAAGATTTAGTGCTGCTAATTCTTGACACYCATCAAGGGCTCATATCGCCTAATCAAATTTGTTACTTCATTTAATCTTACTGCTTCATGCTTAGTAAAAATAGAGTGAAATTGACTGAAATATTTTAAAAAGTTCAAAAAAATGTTTGTAACCCTGTAGATAACTTTAACTCTTCCATCATATTTAGCTTACTCTATATTTGAAAATGAAATATAGAGGGAATTAAAAGGAACTTTGTTTGAACAAGATACTTCCTGTGCTACAATGATCTTTCACTTTCTGAGTTTCCTTTTACATTACATTTTTAGTGTACATAATGTTCAATTTTATTGGGCCAATTGTATCAAGAATCAAATCCAAGGTTGTCATAAAACCCCTGAAATCACAAAAATCCAATCTAAGAATCCAAGGCTAGTAAGCATTCCATGGAGATTATATCAAAACCTCAGCTAAAGCCTGAATTTACAAAGGTCTACCTTGAACTCAAAATGGCTAAGAGATAATCACGCTTGGTTATTCAGATTATTTGAGGAGTGCAATTTGGTATGAGATCCATCCTACATATGCTAATCACACGACCAGCACAGAACTGAAAATTGATTTCAGGCTAAAATTGCAGCACAAATAAGTCAAAGATCAAAGTAGTCACTCAGAAATATTCACTSTTTAAATGGCTAATAGTAGCCATCATCACTCCCTACGCTCTTGGTTCCACTTGAGTTTTGATCATTTTCTGACGTCATTTTCATAGTYGATAACCGTACAGACCATAGAAAAGCGATTTYGATTTGTTAACTGTACAGCCTCTATCTCCATAGAAATCTTGCTTACTTAATTGCTACCTATACTTGATGAATTATGGTAAACTACCCCAGTATAGGTATTTGTGATTTCTGATGTTCTCAAGAAATACTGTTAAAAGTTTATGACATGATAATTTCCAATGTGTGAAATGATATTTCTTCACTGACCCCCAAGATATGAAATYTGAGAAAAAAATGTTGCTCTTCAGGATTTCCCCATAGTTTGCATATATCAAAACTGACTGAAAATACTTATTATTAAAGTATTTTAAACTCTTCCCAAATCATCCTAAATGTGTTTTGTCATTATTCTATTTTCCACTCAGAATTTAACAACAAAWAGGGAAAAGCACTTTTTGGGGTGATGACATGGACATTCTTTAGGCAGCTATTGCCAAAAACATTGTACCTTTTTTAATTGGTGGGTTTGCATTCAGAACAACTGTTTTCAAAATTAATGCTCTCAATAAAAATTTGTCTTTTAGTGGCACAAGAGGTTTTTTGTTCTCAAGTCTGACAAGACATTAACCTATTATCCAAGTGAGAAGGACAAAAGGCCAGTAAAGGGACCCATTGACTTGAACTCGTGCCAGAGTATTGAAGCTAACCTTCATCATAACAACAAAAACTTCAAGCATGTCTTCAGCATTATCACCACAATGAGAACTTAYTACTTGGTKGCTGATTCTCATGAAGAAATGAACAAATGGGTTAAGAACTTGTGCAAGTGTTGTGGGTTTGAAAARCAAGATGGGAAACCATCCCCAGGTATGTTTGTGTTGTGTTGTGTTCAGCAATATGTGCGTACAAGAAATAGGAATASGACCAAAATTTAAGAACAATTGATRATTAATAACTAAYCCGTTCTATYAGTAGGAAGACTATATAATATATATTCCATAAACTCTTCTAGTTTTTCTAAAATATCAYCCCTATATCTCCACCAACATGAAGGCTTAATTCCCCTGATTTAGCTAACTTATCAGGCATTCTGATATAGTGCGATGATGCAATTTCGCATAATCACCTAAAAATTGCATTTTTCCGCATAATAGATAAAAATCGCATAATTAGTCAAAAATTGCATAGTTTTTGAAACAAAAACATKKTTCCCATTAAAAATAAATTAAGTTCTGTCTATTTCRTTTTAGAATTTATCGATACAAACCTTTTTTGAGTGGAAAATATTTGAAAAACCATCGAATATTCGATCAAAACAAACATGCCTAATACGATTTCGTCATTTATCTACAAGGCGCTACTTGCTCGACAGCAGACTCTGGGGAACTGGTGCTAGTTTTATGGTGGAGATCCTTTTCTTTTCTTCCAAAGATTTCTTAGCATCATGATTGATTCAATGGATTCTGCGTATAATCTTTTTGCAATATTTCTTCTGAAKATTTTRATAACAGTTAAAAAATGTAGAAAGAAAAAAAAGATGTGTCCAGAAACTGCTCAAGTCGAGAATCAAACCCGCGATCTTCAGTTCACATATTCGACGCTGCTATTCGAGTATGTGATAAGAGAACATTTTGTATAACGACAATATTGGCRTGAAAATGTGTCTTATACTAAAACGCGCCTACCGTGTCCAGGACGAAAAAAATTGCAGYGACTTTTTTTCACATTGCAGTTTAGCGATCCCAGGGATCGAAATTACAACTTGAAGCAATAAAAAGTCATTAGTCTGTTGTTTTAAATTAGATAAACACTAAAAGCCATAGAATCRTAAATGAAATGTTTTTATGCRACAGAAAATTAAAATAAACATGAGAAAAAGATATCKCAATATTGCGCAATKTACAGCATAATCGGGAATTTTTGCCGCATAATTGAACATTTGTGCCGCATAATTTGATGTTAATATGCCKCATAATTTCAATTTTTAGTTTCTGTTTATGTATTTAGCATGTGAATCATTAACAGCTTATTTAATTTCATATTAATTGTATGACTGTCTTTGTTTTCAGACTTTCTTAGAAATAGAGCAGAAACAAAATCACAAGACATAATTCATAAAGCGGAGCCTTCAACATTACCCAGTCCAGTGGTGACACCCTCACCACCACCAATATGTCCACTCTCTCCACCTAAATCACCTGGGATGACAATGCTGAGTGGCAAACCAGATAGATCCYTSAGCGACCCCCCTGATTCTGATGACGTCATCAGAAGAGCAGAAAAACAATACATTGAAAGCAGGMTGCGTCGCAAGTCTTCTGAAATTATTAGAATTTCTCCAACAGGTCCAAGTATGACTTTACCTGTAAAAGCACCACCGTTAAGTCAGTTACCTGAATGTTATGATATAGTCCCTCCTGTCCATTCACAAAGTCCACATGAAGTTGAYGGAGGATATGATTCACTAAAGCCACCGCCATGTGGTGTCAGAGTAGAGGAGAGTAATAGGCAATCATTAACAAACTATGACGTTGTACCAAGACCAAGGCCATTGTCTTCAGAAGTGTATGATGGCTCTTCAAAAGCATCTGATGATGATATTTATGATATTCCGCCTACTAGGAATTCTGAACGTGGTAATTATGATGTAGTTCCAACACCACGACCTGTAAGTCAAAATGATCCRTATGATTATGTGCCAAGACACAACCGCTACAGTTACAATCCAGAAGAGACTTATGATACATTGCCAATTCGGCATAGTCGTGAAATTAGCAATTTTGACGYACAAARCCAAGATGTTTATGATATTGTGCCACCGCCAAGACCTCAAAAGAGTGATTCAGAWTATTATGATACACTGCCACCACCTAATAGGAACTCAGAAGATGTCAGTGATACACTACCTAACATGGCTGTACCAGCTAGACCCCCCAAACCATCCAATATTAAACAGGACCATTATGATATTGTACCTGCACCAGGATCTAAGAAATCAATGCAAGGACTAGAATTGAGAAATAGAGACTCAGGATCATATTCAGATGATATTTATGATGTCCCACCAAAGCAGTCAAATGAAAATGATATTTATGATATTCCTCCAAGGCCAAGTGATGCTGATATCTATGATGAACTACCTAGACACAGCAGTGAAGACTTATATGATATTCCACCAACACAATTAAGTGGATCAGGTATGCATKTTATTTTGTTATGTTATACTCATTTGTGAAATTCCCAGTGTAGTGCCATTTTGAAATGTAGCAGTGATTGATAGCAGTTCACAGCTGCAAGAAATATGAATTATTGCAAGCTTGACCATCATTGTGCTTCAGTGTAAGGCTACTACCGTCAAGATGGTGCTTGAGCCTCTCAAGGTGCCTCCTCATCCAAATCCCTGCAGCGGGGGCAAATATTAGGATTGCTTTGTAGTACTCATGATTTTAATAAGAAATACAGTTAGGTGAAACAACACTTTCGACCCCAAAAATTGTACCATTGCAKGGCAGTAGCTAGTAAGAGGCCAACCGAGGCACTCGCCTCGGTAAAATTTTGCCGATGCTTTTTGTTCTTCATCACTAATATTATCTTAGCCTCTCAGAGCCGATTTCGTACGACTGATTTTGTGCAAAAAATATAAAAATAATGTTATTTTTGTACCGAATTTTGTACGCGGTGTAGCTTCTTTGTTTCATAAATATTGCATGATGAATTCCGGTTAAATCTGTTCAATAAAGAGTTACCAAAAGACCCACAAAACGCTGCAACTTGCATTTCCGAGAGAGTGAATTTCAAATTTTCTAGGGGGAGAATGCCCCCAGACCCCCCTAGTTTCTCCCGCCATCGGCGGCCGCTTGCCTTGGTTGTCCATTCACCCTGGCTACGGCCCTGCATTGTCGTGGTAACACCAATCAAATGTAGTCGTACTTTTTCGACTTGTTTTCCCATTTTATTTAATGTTGTGAGACTTCGACTCCAAAGATTCTTTTTTCGTGAAAAAAGTGCAGATTTTTAATAGRATGTAAGTCACRCTACTTGCATAAAATGCAAAGCAARTTTTTCATAGTATAYGTATAAATGGTTCGTCGCCAGGACACAGTCTGCTGTTTTGAGCCTGCAAAGAAACTYGGGATTGCCMTATTGTATGCTAATACGTAGATGTTTTTTCACAAAAGGTGCATTTAACATTGAATCGGAAAACACAGTCTATTTCAGCTTTCTGTTTTTTAATTAAATGTTTTGACAAACCTTACTCTTTACTGTTGTCCAGGCTCTGGTGTCCCTCCAGTGATTGATAGATCTATCAAGCCACCTCCCCTCTGTCGCAGTACAAAACCATCMAATCATGACTACACAAACCTTGCTCCACCAGTAGACAGGAAATCCAAACCACTTCCCTTGAAACATTCTGATGTCACGGTTCACTCTTATGAAAATYTATGTGAGAATACCAGAAAGCAGCTAACAAAGAGCCATTCATTGCAAGAGACGGATTCRCGCGATTATCATCAAACAGATTATTGCGACATGCAACCATACAGGTCTGATGACACAAGGTGTTACAGCTTTTCCAAAGAAAATTATGTTTCATCTGATWTTTATGAAGAAATGGGCCCCAATGTTATGAACAGAGAGTCAGGGGTTCACAGCAACTCGTCCTCTTCTGAAGATAACGACACAGAAGAATGCTACATGACAATGGAAGCTCCAGAAAATATAGTAAGTACAAAGTTTTACGGTCATTCTGCTCATGAATAAAGGATAAACTCCTACTCTTTCTAGAAACCTCTGCTCACACCTCATGAAATGCATTCGCTACAAACTACCAGGATGTTTTATACGCGCGGATTGTGTTGTCTAATTTTCAATTCCTTTTGTATTGTAAAAATTTCAAAAGAATAAATTTGACGTCAAGTGCGGAGAACTTATTAAAAGGGTGTATACTCTACACTACTCTGCATACTAACACACACTTGTCTCTAGAGGCTTATCGTTGATACAAGATATCTCGAAATAAGCTTTTGAGTTGACTGGTTCAGCACAAATMTAGCTCATGAAAGTGAAACTCTGAAACTCCTTTTGAGTTCGTCTGATTTAGCCAAGTGTGACGTCTACTAAGGAACCAAAGTTCTCGCATCGCTTGATATATCACCTTAGAATTGTTGCGTAAAGTYGGCTTATACTAGTAATCTTATAAGTTTATAACAGGAATGACTACCGTCGAATCTCCACCTTTTTTTCGAAAGGCTCCGGAAGTGTGAGCGACAATTCCTTATTAGTAGACGTCACATTCGCACCAGGCCCCTGATTTCAAAGAGAGCGCATTTTTCCGAACTGGAGGGAATTCAAAATAACAATAAATATCGGGAATTTATCCAATTCAAAATCTTTTTGCGGCAAGTTACTTTTTAATTGGATAGATTATCCTAGAATTTGAATATTTTATGAACTGTTTTGTTATCAGAGTCATCCTCAAAGAAAAGCAGCTTTACAGTACTGTGAAGTCCAGATAGTTGACGGGGAAACAAAATCTCAAGTGCCTGTTCGACGACGTGATGCTGAATCACATTACACTACAATAAATGAAGAATCCACTCAAGCCTTCTTGCAAACATGCCGRCAACAAAAAACATCAAGAAATTAAATTGAAAAGATTTATAATATGAATATATAATGGACGTCAGTCCACAGGTTTGTAGTTGAAACAGACGTAGTGATATTTCAAAAATTTACAATACAATCATTAATTATAAGATCCTAAATAAAAACAAGTCAGAGACAACTATTTTTAACATTTAGCAGACGTAATAATCGTCTGTGAAAGGAAGAACTAGAAGATAATCGTCTTGTGAGGAAGATAGTCTGATTTTCAGACGGGCTACGACCGTGTGCCGATGGACATTGCTTCAAACTGCGTTCTCTATTGTCTGATTTTCAGTCAGTTAGCGCGAACGCTAAGAGGTGAAAAACAAAAGCATATAAACGTTAAATCAGATTTAACAAGTATTTCTTCCAAGAACACGATTGGAGGCGATGTCCTTGGGGAAGAAAGCGTTGAACAAATGCCCATGCAGTTAATATCCACTGTATTTCTAGCACTCGGTCTTGTCCTCCCAAAATATTTCTTCGTTTTGCTTCTGTRTAGTCCTTAATTCTCCTGAGGACGGTAAATAATACAACTTAGGTTTATGATTATGATTAACTGATAAATTTTAGTTATTTCTTTTTGATTAATTACGATGCCGTCAGAACGTTTGGGGAACAACATGCACACGCACGAGGAATGCAGACTTCATAAACTGCGCATGGTGTTGATTTTAACTCATTTTATTGACACACTCTTAACGTCATTAAAAATAGGCTAACTGCAAGTTTTGAACATTTTATGACGTCAAGAGTTGTCAATAAAATGATATATTAAATTAGCGTGTGCAATTTTTTTACATGTACCCCATTTTTAGTTAGATGAAATTATTATATTTATATTATATTTGCTAAAATCATTATTTGCGGAACGTGATGGTATTAGAATAGTGTCGTGTTATTGACACCATAACCAACCAATCAGCGAGACGGGGAAAAATAGTCTCCTTCACGGTTCCCTTCGCCGTCTTGAAAGGTACGCTCAACAGTCGTCTCGCTTCGATGTAAAGGCACGGCTACCTTTCAAGATGGCGCAGCAAACCGTAAAGGAGACT